TCCCCCCCCCGCGAGTATCGCGGGTCCCCATCTTGTAGCTTACTAATCATGGCCATGGTTGTGGAATATGGGGGCAGTGGAAGAATATGCCATGTTTGATGAATAAGGGGGAAAGTGCTAGATGAAACTGGCATAAATGTCACCAATGAGGATTTGCCAGACCTTCTCAGTTCTGTGTCAATGACCTAAGTCCTTCTCCTCCCAGACGTTAAACTATTCCAGCATGGTGTAGTGGTTAGGAGCGGCAGTCTCTAATCTGGAGAACTGAGTTTGATTTCCCACTCTTCCACATAAAGCCTGTTGGGCAACCATGGGCCAGTCACAGTTCTCTCAGAAAGCCACAACTACCTCACAAGGTACCTGTTGTGGGGAGAGGAAGGGAAGGCGATTGGAAGCCACTTTGAGACTCTTTAGGGTAGAGAAAAGTGGGGTATAAAAACCTACTCTTCTTCCATGCCCGCAGTTACCAGCTACTGAGAGCAAGGAATCTTCCACTGCCCTACCCATTTATTTCTTTTTAAAAAGATTTTATTAATCATTTCAACCCATTTCTGCGAACAGTCAAAGTCATTTCCAGAATACGGAGCTGCTTTCACTCTATCTGGTATTCAAAGAAGTCTTGCCCCTTTTCTTCTAATTTCTGCTAGCTCTTCAGGACTCACAGGGAGCAAGCAACTTTTTAACTTCTGAAATGACATTAACAACTGAGGAACTCACTGATTAATGCTGACACGGTGTCCACCTTTGGATCGTAAGAGCATTTCCCTTTCCCTGACTCCAGTGTCTGTGGTTCCACATAGAATATGTAATCCTGGAATAGAAACAAACAGGTGGATAAATTTCCTACATGATCGCACAACCTTCCCTTTGGTCTTCTTGGCTTCTTTAAACAGGGTGTACACAAAAGTTTGTTAGATACAAGACACTGCATGCATGAACCACACTGTGTACCACTGAAATGCATCTCTTTCATCCAATGACATTACGAACAGCTGAATGTACAAAGCCTGGGCATATAGTATGACTCCTCTATGAAGCGTGGTTTAAATGAGTTCCCCCTAGTGGCTGATTCCATGCATTGTAAGGCAGTGCAAATGACTCCACTCAAGGAAGCAGCTTCCACACCAAGGGGAGCAACGACCTCTGTGTACTGGCTGCTTGAGGAACACTAGGTCAGAATGTCCAATGGCTGCCCTAAAAGCATGAACGGAAGCTGGAGGTACGGAAACTGCTCTTAACACATCTTTGAAATTGCCTGTTGTTAGCATCCCCCTTGACACCTCCATGTCTCACCATGAACAGCAGTGGTGTCCACATAGTATTCTAACTGTAGCTGTTTTATCCGCTATCAATCCCACACCAACCACAAAGAAATGCTTTTGCAGAGTCATTCTCCCAATTGCTACTGCACTGCCCTGTGAACCAATTTACAGGCACATCACTTTGTCATTTTCATGCAAGCCTCAAAATAGATGTCCCATGCTCAAGTTGTCAAAGAAACATTAGTTTGCCCTACATAAATCTGTTCTATGATTGAAAAATAAATCAAAGACATTAAAATACCATATCCCACCATCTCTACCTGCATGGTGTTATTTTATAAAGCCATGCATTTTTTTTTTTAAATCATAGTGCTCACCATCTCATGACCAGGTCACCTATCACATTCATAGTTTGGTTCAAGATTGGAAAAGCTGATCTGTGGAATATCTTCACAGAGACTTCTCATTTCTTCTACAGTGTTAACACCATTGCATGGTCAAGCCTTCTGCAGACCCACAAATTTCTTTCTTTTATGCCAAATAAGTGGAGAGAAATGATCACTTTTGTAATACAAGAGCACAGCAGCTACATGTCTCATCACTGTGCCTTACTACTAAGTGGAACTTGGCCTCAAATGGTAGCTTACTGGAAATTCCACAGGTCATTAGAGACGTTTTTGACAGTGTGTGTTCTTGCAGTAATATAACTGCCTACATTATAATGAAGGCTCAGGGAAGGAAACATTGTATTCTTATCTTCATTTCCACAATAAATGTCCACAGGTAGGTCAATATGGTTTCCATTTGATGGGAAGAAAATCTCAGCAAAGTAGCTTGGCCAAAAACTTGACATGTTTACACAATTATCAGTCTCAGAGATCTTTGGTGCACTCTGGCCCTGATTCAGTACTCTCTTATTTACTGTTTTCTTCAGTCATACATTATGATAACCATTTCCCCTTCTTTGGCATTATAAAGGACATCAGACAAAAAGTCTATATTCCACTTCCATATATTAATTGGAAAAATCAGCCTTCAAGTGACCTTCAGAGAGTCTTCAGGTATTTTATAAGAAACTACACAATGTTCTTAACATAAAACAACCACCATTCATGTACAAACTTATTTGTGTAGGAAATGTCCGTGTTGATATTGCTGTGTAACATACAAGTAGCTAAAGACCACACATGACCGTTTGTGTTGATTAAAGGCTCTAGTACCCTGCCTTTGAAGTTCCTCATCTTTTCCTTCATTCTGGATTATCCTTGGTTGTCCTGCAATACTATTCAACTACTTTCCATGTGTTTCCTTCCTCCTACCCATATGCTGGAGCTGCGGTGGCTCAAGTGGTTAAGACGCTGAACTGCAGGCTGTGGAAGGTCAGTAGTTCAGCAGTTCGAGACCCAGGTGCCGCAAGACGGAGTGAGCTCCCGTCTCTAGTTCCAGCTCCTGCCAACCTAGCAGTTCGAAAGCAAGAAATTGCAAGTAGATAAATAGGTACCACTTCGGTGGGAAGGTAACAGCGTTCCGTGCGCCTTGGTGTTTAGTCATGCCGGCCACATGACCACGGAAACGTCTTCGGACAGCGCTGGCTCTTCGGCTTTGAAGCGGAGATGAGCACCGCAACCCTAGAGTTCGATTCGACTGGCTTTCGAGCAAGGGAAGCTTTACCTTCCTCCTACCCATATGCTGGGGCTTTGGGTGGGGTAAGATGGAACCTTGTTGAACATGCACTCAGCCAGCTTTGTACCTTAACAGACCCCCAGCAAAAAGTTCATATTATAAATCACAGCTGGTGCGTGGATGTACCCTAAGCGGCTCTCCCAGAGGGCAGTCACCAGAATACCAGCCATGACTAGAGATGATGCAGTGCAGGTCTTTAAGCTGAACAATTAAGTGGAAGACTGCAGAGTAAATGAATGTTCCTGTAATCAAATGACCATCTCAGTCTAGTACTGATTTAAGAATTGCTTTTATTTTAAAAAATGAACAAACACATTCTAGCCTAAGTTAAGCAATTTTTAAAGTCTCACTGACTTCATTGGGGAATATTTAAATACATGCTTATTGCCTCCCACTGAGAGACAAAAATAGTCCCTAACTTGGGCCAAAACATATCTCTTTCCCCCATCATTGATTTCTCATGAGGAATCTCTGTTATTAAAAATAATCCTATCAAAGATTTTATTGGAATATCTCAAAAAATATCAGTATCCGGAAAAGAAAAACACTAATAAAGTCAGTCAGGATATTTGATTAAACTTCTATCCTGCATTAATAATCCTGATTTCCCATACTTTCCTTTCTCAAAGCTCTTCTTTTCAATAGAGGTCCACTGGCCCATTATCCATAAACTATACTGGAATTGTGGCTCTTTATTAGCAGAGAATGCCCACAAAATGGAAGTGTGAACTTTCTAGAGCCTCTTTCTAACTAGAGGGTCATTGGTTTTATGTTCTCAGAATGGGGTGGCAGGAAGACTGAAAAGGTGAGAAACGCAAGATGCATAGTTCTTCAAATACATTCACATTGAGTCTTTTGTCAGCATCCACCATGCTAGGCTGTGGTAAGTAGTGCTGAATCTGTCTTAAAGATGGATTAGATTGGACAGAATAAATCCCTTTCTGTAGTTCCTCTTTCACCTGAGGAATTCCAAAGGTCAGCTGCTTTCAGTGGAATGGGCTGAGTCAGTATCAGTGGCGTGAGGGATCATTAGAATCAGGATGACTGAACAGGATGAAAGAACACCAAGACTATGAGCATAAGATATGAGGCACCCCTCGAGCTGCCTAATACTTGCACAGACACATCCAAAAGTCCAACCCATACCAAAAAATATACAGCCGCTAACAGAATGACACAGCTTTGCCAGAAAATGCAGAGAACTTACTTTGTCTCTAACCATGCACAGTTATCTGAAAGATGTTGACTATAGGAAAAGTCCAGTATCAATGACAGAATGCATGCCTCTAAAATTAATTTCATGGGTTTGTGAGCTAATTTTGCCTGAAATTAGAGCTGGACAGTAGAAACTGTAGTCTTGTTCACTGACATCTCTCAAGGCATCCTCTCTTGCCTCCTATCTTTCTTGCTCATACAATGCACATGTGCAAACACACACAACCAGGGCTATTTTTGGGCAGGAACGCACAGGAACGGAGTTCCGGCTGGCTCCTGAGTTGGCCACGCCCAGCAGGAACTCATTAGCATAATAGGCCACACCCAACAGCAGAAACTCCTCCGGATTGGCTACATAAGGGGTGTGTGGCCTAACATGCAAAGGAGTTCCCGCTACAAAAAAGCCCTGGGTTTTGACCACAAACAAGGTAAACAGAATAAGAAGCAAAAGGTGGGTGTGGCTGGATGAGCACACTTTTGGTAACATGGGGGTGCGGCCTAATGGGCTAATGAGCTGTGCTGTCAGGGTGTGGCCTAATATGCTAATGAGTTTCTGCTGTTGGGTGTGGCCTATTATGCTAATGAGTTCCTGCTGGGCTTTTTCTACAAAAAGAGCCCTGCGACACAACCATCTATAAAAAGCACTTCAAATAAGAACAAAAAAAATACTAGAAGGTGTAATCCAGGGCAAGTTTTACTTGCATGTCCATAACCAGGAAAATTCAGAGTAGAAAAAATTTGTAACTAATATTTTTACTACTCTAGTTTTTAAAAATAAAAGCTAATATAGAATAGCAGCAACATAGGTTCTCTTCTGACATAGCATCTGTTCACAAAATCATTTATACTGACCAACCATTTTCACTGTCAGCTCCTCTCATCACTTATTGTATATTTGTAACTCAAGATATGTGTTTGTTTTCCTCACCCATATGGCATTGTTGGTACTTCACTGGATGGCTTTTAAAAGAGTAAAGAATACTGAGAGGGTTCTTCATTCCAAGAGACAGAAATGTTTCTCAAATAAAAGTCCATTGCTTGACCAAAAGTGCAAATGGATTTCCTCTGATGGAGCACAAATAAATTGAGTATGTTTAGGATAAATACCTGTTATGACTTATAGGAGTCATTCTGTGCTGGTGGAAATGTCACAAACTGAATTTTGCTGGTAACAACATTGGTTCCATCTGCATTCAGACAGGCCAACTGGGGTGCTATATTTGGCTCTGAGTGATACAAAAGTGGTCTTCAGGTGCTCAATATTACAGCAGTATGTGACATGTTGTGTTTGCTAACCCCA